CCATATTAGAACCTTCTGACCATCCGTATCATCCGCAGTGGGTGAGTCACAATGATAATTGAAGTAATTAGAGCATTGTTAATTAGTTGTTAGTGCCAACACCGCGAATTTTAATTAGTGACTATGGATAGATAGTTAAAATAAAAAGTGCTTAGTCATAAATAACATGTTCTTTTTCGTCCGTGTATTGGTCTTAATTTTTACCAATTACAATAAACTAAGTATATAAACAAGTTTACCCATTAGGAAACAAAGATCCACCACGAGTAACATCAATCACTTTGCATATATAAATGCAAATAGGAACTTAAGGATTAATAAACCTTCATTTAAGTTGACAAATCGCCATCTGCCTTTTACTTTTGGGTAAAGTCAATGAAAAGATAGTTCATTGTAACAGTGAGGCTATAAATAAAAAATTGTAGTGCATAAACATATACATGCATAGAAAGGCATATCTTGTAAATCAAACAGTCCATTTTTAGGTTTTTTTTATTCGATAAACTACTAAAATAGTTCTTTTTTCATGCATGGCCATATATTTTATCTACATTTTACGCAATTAATGGGTAGGAGGTGGTGGCTCATTTTACAAAATGATGAGCTGCAAAGAGATAGCTTGCGAAGAGGCTCGTCCTGAAAATCACATCAAAAAGTACGGACCTCGCCTATTTATCTCTTGATTGCTCTTTTTGATAAATGAGCCGCCACATCATAATCGTCAATCTTATATTTTATTCACCTACATCGATCACGAGTGATAAAATTAAGACTTGTAGGATACAAGAAATTGTGGGATGTGCACTTCGATCTGATTTTTTTTCCCCCTCTCTTTTTCGGAATCAATTGCAGGCAGAGGTAATATTTCTTGGGCAATTAAGGCATCCGCACCTTGTAAAACTTATTGGCTATTGCTACGAGCATGAGCACCGGCTACTTGTATACGAGTTCTTGGCTAAGGGTAGCTTGGAGAACCATCTATTCAAAAGTAAATTTCTTTTCTCTAATGAGCTAGATTCAATAACTACTAGTGAAATGTGTCATACATAGCTCTCTTAATTAGGAGGTTTCAATGTGATAGTTATATGATTCTTCCAAATAATTAAAAAAAAAGGGCTTCAGCTCTTGCTTGCCTTTCTGAACTTTTCATTAATTCATCTCTTCATACACCCTGATCTACCTGCTGAGTTATCACTCTATCCATTTAAAATACCATAAATTAATAAAGGGAAGTGGTAACTTGGCACCGCAAGAGTGACGCCCCTGGGTTCACACAAGGCTACAGTCCGAGGTGAAACCAGAGATGTCAAACCTGCCATGCACCACACCGTGCAATAACATGTTTCACCATCACAATTACTATCTCTCTAGTGGAATCAAAAACAGGTGTAGTACAAAGCAAGTAAAAGATTATACAACAATTGCTTAATTGAGTGATAGGACTCAAATAAACACATCTCATCAATCAAAAATAAGCTGAAATACACAGTCAAAGTCTGAAATGAATAATAAAGATCTGGAGAGCTCAACATATCGGTGATCTGCAGGGTCGATCGTTCAAAGGGGTATATGGGATAAAATAGTCCAATGGATAAAAAGGGATGAACTTAATAGTTCATAGGGGGTAAGATGAGACTAAAAATAGTTCTGAGAATATGAATGAACTAATTGAAAAAAGTTCAAGAAGTAAGTAGGGGCTGAAATCTATAATAATAATAATTATAATAAAATAGTGTAGCTTTAGACCAAGGGTGAGGTGTACCAAAAGGGTAAATATCTTTCAGCCACCATGACATTGAGTCAAATGTGTTCATCATCTTATCTACTTTTTTTTTCTTGCGATGAGTAGAGGAATAGAAGGGTAATGTGTCACTTGACCAACCACTTTTTTAGAGGAAAATAGTTTCCATGACAACAACACCACCACCACCACCATCAACACAACAAAACAAAAAGGAAAAAAAAATGAGGGGGAAAACGTCAATTCATCATTAATTTTATGCCTTTTTTTCCTTGGTTGAACCATTCAAACTAATTTCACCAGCTTGTAATTTGTAGGATTTTGTTGTTTACCATGGTCTGCAAGATTAAAGATTGCATTGGGAGCAGCCAAAGGCCTGGCCTTTCTCCACCAAGCAGAGCAGCCTGTGATTTATAGAGATTTTAAAGCTTCAAATATCTTGTTAGACTCGGTAAACTTTTAATTTCTTCTTGCATCTTACTCTTATTATTACTTATTTTCCACGGCTTGATAATTGAAGTATATGCCTTCACATTGAAACCCTCAATTATTGAAACGAATAGGATGTCAGCATGAAAGCTAAAGTCTCACTCATTTGATTTTTATTTTTATTTTTATTTTATTTTATTTTATTTTTTTTGAAATGATAGCCTCAACATAGTACTCCGCATCGTGGGTTTGGAACAAATCAATCACTGGTCATTTTAAAACTCAAATCACTTGTTGTGATGGATTTGACATTGTGTTCTATATCTTGGTTCGGAAGAAAAAACTGGTCATCTAAGATAAGTTGGTTCTTGTTCCCACGTATTAAGTTGTCGCATATTTGCTAAAGCATCAAAGTTGCTACATGGATATTATTGAATAGTTGACCACCATCAACAAAGGAAAGGGAAAAAAAAAGAAAAAAAAAACTTTGGATGATTACCAGATAACACCTCATAAGTTTCAACCCCATACACGATGGATAGAACTACGCAATTCGGGGGGTTCTTTTGAAAGATGTCGAAACCTGAAGGGGAGTTTTCTAATACGCCTAAACGTTAGGGGTTTTTCTGATATTTTTTAAGTTATAAGGTTTATCTAAATATCATATCATAATTAATTACACGAGCAAAATAAACTCAAACGAACTCAAGTTTAGAAGAAGAGAAATTATTATTTTAAAATTCAACGTACACCGAAATTTCACAACCAAATAGCACGTGATATGCGCTCGCAGAGGATAATTAATCTTGTTATTCTACTATAGAACATTTTTCTTCTAGTTTCCCCCCATCAATTTGAGGTCTCAACGTAACCATTGCTAAATTGTATTAATTTCTTCAGGAGTACAATGCAAAACTCTCAGACTTCGGACTCGCGAAGGATGGACCCGAGGGTGACGACACCCACGTCTCCACCCGAGTCATGGGCACCACAGGTTACGCTGCACCCGAATACATCATGACAGGTTAGCTCAATTCTCAACAGTTCCGAAAACATCTCCCTTTTTTTTTTTTTTTTTTTACGACACCCACGTCTCCACCCGAGTCATGGGCACCACAGGTTACGCTGCACCCGAATACATCATGACAGGTTAGCTCAATTCTCAACAGTTCCGAAAACATCTCCCTTTTTTTTTTTTTTTTTTGAAAGTTGTAAACAGGGTGAGGTGCCCTGCTCTTGATATATATTACATGAAAAGATGAAGGATGATATTTACATGAACAAACCAAAAGAACCGGAAGAGAGTAGGAACCAGAGGAGATATAAAACATCCGGGAGCGGACCTTATCGCCACCGGATAGAGAAAATCTACTTTGTTTCCTACTCTTCCCGAGAAAAGAACAAAAAAAAGAAGAAAAATAAAAGAACAGAAAAAGAAGTTCTGAGGAAACATCCTTGGTAGCTTAATACATCAAAATGGAGAAAACGAGAAGGAGGAGAAACCCACTTTTTCCATTTGTTATAAAATTACAACAAATGGAAGTCTTAATTACTATTTAACCCATAAATTTTCACACTGCTTTTCAAAATTTCGAATTCCAGGCCATCTCACAGCGAAGAGCGATGTCTACAGCTTCGGAGTGGTCCTCCTCGAATTGCTAAGCGGCCGAAGATCAGTGGACAAAAGCAGACCGGCCCGCGAGCAGAACCTAGTCGAGTGGGCTCGACCTCATCTGACCGAGCCCAAGAAGATGGCTC